TAAGGGTAATTATCAAATATATAGCTATGTCTGTGAAATGTTTATTTTTTATAGTGAACACTTTTCCTACAAGCAGCAGAAAAACTAACCATGAGGTAAGAAAATATTTCACTTAACGAAAACCTAAAGTTAAGCAATCACCCTTTTCCTTACTCATCTCAAAAAACTCAGGATTCTGAGCAACATTAGTATTTGTTAAGATTAGTTTTGGATTTAAGGGACAGAAAACTCAAAATAAAAATTGGCTAAAACTATGGAAGTTTAATTAAATTTATGATGTAAAAATTCAGATACATGAACCACGACTGAAAAGATGCTCCACCGAATTAGAGATCTAGCATCCTCTTATCTTGTTGCACCATTTTTATTTGGAATTCCATTTCCAATTCACCTTATGGTAAAAAAAAATTGCTTTAGCTAAAGCTCTATTATATTCATTCCTGAAAACAATGCGATAAACTAGAAAGAAGAAAAATATCAAAAGTTACGTATCTTTAGTCAGAGCTTAGTGACCTGACAGCAATTAGCATCTAGCAAAGTTGGTACATATATACAGTATTCCAAGCATTCATAAGCACAGCTAAAATTCAGAAAGTATGCTATTAGAGAAAAAAGCAAAATAGGTGTTTTTATTATAATATCTATACAATTTTCTTGTTTTTCCCTGGGATACCAAATGATTGTCACAGCTTCAGCTGCTGCAGTTAGATTTATTCAATGACAGGAAACAGAAGAAGCAGGAGTTATCTTCACCTGATATCCCTTTATTATCTGAAAGGATATTCTTTTTCGAGTTGCTCCCTCAGGATATCTTCAGTTACAACTCAATGGACAGAACTAGATCACATGCCCAGCTCTAGCTGCAAGGACAGTCATGAAAGCAGGGATTTACAAGGAGAATAAGATTGGCTTAAATGACCCAAACCAATGATAATTAATCCTCTTAGACTGGGAACTTTGGAGACAAAACAAAAAGTTTTGTTGGTATGCAAAATTGGAGAATACCTAAGCTAAGCAAACCACAGCGTTTGCCAGTATAACAATGTCTTGGATGTGCTTTTAAAAATTCAATAACTTACTAAAGCCCCAAATAGAAATATTTAGCACAAATTGTTCAGTTTTGGAAAGTGGTATTTGAAAATTAAAAGGAAAAGAAAAGAAGGAAGGAGAGAGGGAAGAAACGGAATAAAGATGAAATGTTTTACATTTCCAAATGTTTACTTAATGTAACAGGAAATTAGAGTATAATATCAACTAGAATTGAACAAAACTGATAATACATCATGTAAAAATATTACACAATGCAGCTAAAATTATTTTTAGAAGTTTCAAGTCTTAAATGTTAGAGAAAGTAGGAAATAATAAATATACATATTATCAGGTTAAAAGAGAAAACTCTACAAAGATAGTTTTAGATATGAAAAAATAATTTGAAATCAGTATGCATCTTTAATTTTTTTTAAAAACAATCATGTGACAAACTAAGAATAGGACAAAAGATATTTGCCCTGTGAAGAATACCATGGATCAATAGAAAACCCCTTATTAACAGTGAGCAAAGAAATAATATCCAAATGAACAACTATTATTCATATTATTAAGAAATATAGTAGAACATTGAAGAATTTATTCATCTTAGTAATGGAATGTTAATGCTAGTTTTTATTATTAATAATAAATAGAAATATAGGTACATTAACTAACATACAAATTTATGAGCATGAGCAAACACAGTAAGATTCAACATAAGATGTATCATACCTTATGCGATATCCTTGCTCTGTAATAGCTCTGTAAAATCACAAATAACCAGATATTTTTAAAGTAATGCAAAATTGTTGACATGGTTTGGCTGTGTCTGCACCCAGATCTCATCTTGAATTGTAGCTCCCAAAATTTCCACATGTTGTGGAAGGGACCCAGTGGGAGTTAATTTATTCATGGCGGCAGGTTTTTCCTGTGCTGTTCTCATGATAGTGAACAAGTCTCATGAGGTGTGATGATTTTATAAAAGGGCAGTTTCCCTGCACAGGCTCTCTTGCCTGCTGCAATATAAGATATATCTTGCTTCCCCTTTGCTTTCCGCCATGATTGTGAAGCCTCCCCAGCCACATGGAACTGTGAGTAAATTAAACCTCTTTCCTTTATAAATTACCCAGTCTCGGGTTTGTCTT